GCTGTAATACCCAACTCTTACTTTCATACAGGAAAAAAGGACAATTCTCATAATAAAAAGGATAATTCTCATGAACAAAGATTAAGGTAAAGAAGAAAAGCCAGGAAGAACAAACCAAGTGCAAAGGGAGCAGGACAAGTAACTTTAAAAAATGCATTCACAAAGAAGCAACGAAAAGCCAGACACGGAAAAGCAAAAAAAGCAAGAAAAAGAGCGGGAGCAACCACAGAACAGCAATGAGAAGCAAGGACAAGAAAGAAAAGCAGGGGCGGTCCTAGAGAAGCAAGGAAAAGCAAGAAAAGCAACAAAAAGCAAATCCAAATCCGCCGACCCCTTGCGACTGCAAGGGGAGCGCGTGAGAGAAGGTACGAGTGCTCAGGGTGTGGAGGGTTCGAGCATGGTCTGCTGTGTGGGGGCGCACGGAGCGGCCCCGGAGATGGCGCCCCAGATACTGGCCGATGTCTGGGAGCTTTGGAGGGAGGGGACGAGTCTCGAAACTTGCCAGAAGGGGCTTGCTCGAGGCTGCTCCAAAATGTTTTTTTTACGGGATCCGAAAGCGACGTTAGACATCTGGGCCCTTCAAACCCTCAAACCTCGAGGCTGCTTCAAAATGTGTTTTTGTTTTTTTACGGGATCCAAAAGCGGCGTTAGACATCGGGGCCTGCCCTTCAAACCCCTCAAACCCCTCAAATCCTCCAAAAGCCTCGAAACTTGCCAGAAGGGGCTTGCTCGAGGCTGCGTCAAAATGTTTTTGTATGGGATCCGAAAGCGACGTGAGACATCAGGGCCTGCCCGTCAAACCTCGCAAGCCCCTCAAATCCCTCATCAAAATGTGTTTTTGTTTTTTGTACGGGATCCAAAAGCGACGTTAGACATCGGGGCCTGCCCTTTAACCCCTCAAACCCCTCAAATCCCCCAAAAGCCTCGAAACTTGCCAGAAGGGGCTTGCTCGAGGCTGCTTCAAAATGCGTTTTTTTACGGGATCCAAGAGCGACGTTAGACATCGGGGCCTGCCCTTCAAACCCCTCAAACCCCTCAAATCCCTCAAACCCCTCGAAACTTGCCAGAAGGGGCTTGCTCGAGGCTGCTCCAAAATGTTTTTTTTACAGGATCCGAACGCGACGTGAGACATCAGGGCCTGCCCGTCAAACCCCGCAAACCCTTCAAATCCCTCTGCAAAATGCTGCTTCAAAATGTGTTTTTTTTGCGGGATCCAAGAGCGACGTTAGACATCGGGGCCTGCCCTTCAAACCC